ATTCCATGAATTTGCTTCAGGCTCCCATCTATTGACAGATTGCCAAAAATGCCTTTGAGAAATTTGGTGAAGCTCTTCCTCTGTGAATTTCGGTGGAGTATTTCAAAGCAGCTGAACAAGCTATCATTTACTGTGTATGCTTCACATTTCCTTTTACTTAATCCTCATGGCAGTCCTGTGAAGTAGATAGTATTATTACCTTACATAGAGGAGGCAGTTGTAGTTTGGAGAAATTAAGTTATTTTATCAAGATCACAAATAGTAGAAATGGTAGAAACAGTACTTGAGCAAAGTTCATCTATCTGAAAGACGTTTTTGTTATTTCTCCTCAAGCATTAAATTGTTCTTTTAGTTCATATACCCAGTCCTAGGTAAGCCTCCACATATATATTTCAGCAGTACCTTAGATCAAGGGCCAGAGAGTGCTTTTAATCACCAGTTACATGCAAGACTCTATATTCTTGTTTGTTTTATTTTGACTGAAATCTAAAAATCATGAGCAGATTCCTCAAAGTGATTGTCATGGGGAAGGTAGATTTTTCTTCCCTTCTCTACTATTTATGAGGCTCAGGTTTTTGTTTTTGTTTGCACTGCTGAGGATCAAACCTAGAATCTCACAAATACAAAGCAAGTTCTCTGAGCTATTTCCCTCACCCCCCACTTAACAATTTTTAAAAAGATAACAGCAAGGTAGCAACAAAGGTCTGGAGGCAACATGATGGGAAAACTGATCCACACAATTGAGTTGGGGGGGCTTGGGAGAGGGGTGGTTCATGGGAGACCGAAGGGGTATGTTGGAATTCAGTGCATGAGAAACTATTAATAGCATTGTAAACCACAAATCTCAATGTAAAAGTAACATTAAAATAAGTTATGGTGCTTTAATTTTAAGAAATATCTTCTTACTGCTGTGCTTTCATAGCAGGTTATTTTCTTTACTGATTAATACCCAGAGTATCTGTCAGGTGGAAATTGAGCCATACCACAGATTTGGGGGTTTCTTGGGGTTTGGGGTTTGTTTGTTTAAGTTTATTATAAAATTTTCATTGTTATTGACATCCTTTGTGGAATCTTTTCCTTTTAGTTTTAAGGCCACCTCCAGAGAGGCTCAGGGCATACTCCCAGCTAGGTGCTTGAGGTTTTTTCCTGGTGGGGGACCATATGGTACAAAGTTAGAACTCAGGACTCCTACATGAAACTTGTACACCCAAGCCTGTTAAGCCACCTTTTCAACTTTTTTGTGGAATTTTCTTTAAAAAAAAAAAAAAACAGCATTCATCTTGTGGGCCAGAGAGATAGTACAGCAGTTAAAACACTTGCCTTGCATGCAGCCAACCTGGGTTCAACCCCTGTATCCCGTATGGTCTTCTGAGCACCAGCAAAGGTGATTACTGAGTGCAGAGCCAGTATTAACCCCTTAGCAGTGTTGGGTATGGCCAAAAAACAAACAAGAAAGAGAAAGAAATAGCTTTGATTCTGATCACCTCTACATAAATAGATTTGTTATATTACAATGATAGTTATGCCAAAGAATCAAAGTGCTTGGGGATATGCAATTTTTCTTTCTGGAAATTTTCCCTTGTTAACATGATACTTTGGGGGTTAGGTTTTGGGGATACGCTTAGCTGTGTTTAGAGGTTATTCCTGCTCTGTGCTTAAGAGTGACCCCCTGGTGGTGCTCAGAGACCATACATAATGCCAGGTATTGAACTTGAGTCACTTGCATGCAAGGTAGATGCTTTAACCTCTGTTGACTATCTCCCCACCTTAACAGGAAACTGTTGTCCTTGTGTTGCAACTAAATGGGTAAGCATTAATTTCTATGCTTACCTTTTTTTATTCAACAAGTTTTAAATGTTCCCTAAACTATAATTGTCCCTTTTGGGGGGGTAGAGGTGTTGGGGCCACACCCAGCGATGCTTAGGATCTGCACTCAGGAATCACTCCTGGTGCTGCTCAGGGGACCATATGGGATGCCGGGAATTGAACCCTGGTCGGCCACATTCAAGGCAAACTCCCTACCCCCTGTACTACAACTCCTGCCCCAAATTGGATTGTTTTAAAGTGAAGTAAATAATTTTATTCAGTGGGGGGGTAGGGGAAAGAGAGAGAGAGAGAGAGAGAGAGAGAGAGCAAGAGAGAGAGAATGAGCACCTCATTGCAAGTCAGGGATTTGGGCACTCCAGGATGGAAGGCCTAGAACTGAGTTTTGTTCATCTTTGTTCTTAGTACAGAGTAGGTATGCCATAAATGTTAATTGAATGAAGGGATTTTTTTTGTTGTTACGTGGTGAACCCATTGTGTACCAGGCACTAGTGGTATGTTAATAGGGTCCACAGGGAACATACAGGTGTTACAGTGCTTGGTTTGCATGCAACTCACGCCAGTCTGAGCTCTGAGGACTTACTTCTGGCTCTATGCACAAGGATCACTCTTGGCAATACTCAATACTCAGAGGACTATATGTGGTGCCGGGGAGGGAACCTAGGTCAGCCTTGTGCAAGCCCATGTACCATCTCTCTAGCCCAAATTAAATTTTGTAAAAGAAAATGTAGGGGCTGGGGAGATAGAGCTTATATAGAGGATTAGAGCACATGCCCTGCATATGTAGAAACTGAGGTTGATCCCTGGCAATTCATCATTACCCCCTCACTCCTAGGCATCACTGAGTATAGACCTGGAGGTCCCTAGCACTACATGAAATGGCGCCAGAGGCCACCATCATTGCTGGACCTGACCCATATCATATTGCCTGCTTGAACATTGAACCTTCCAGTCAGGTTAGCCATGTATTACTGAAAATTTTTGATGGACCCTATGAGCATTGCTTGGGAGGCCCAGCCCCCCACTCCCAAACAAATGAAGAATAGCATATTAATAATTTACAACTGTTCTTTCTGCATAGTAAAAATATAATATATACATTAATACTTACTAAGGTATACTTCCTATTCCGTAAATAGAAGTCTCTATCTAGTTGTGTTTCTCTCATAGAAATATAAATGTAGGTTTTGTGCCGAAGTAGATAATGATGACCTCTCAGTGTATGTATTGCAAACCATAATGCCCAAAAGTAGAGAGAGGGTATGGGGAATATTGTCTGCCATGGAGGCGGGGGGAGGGTGGGGAGGGTATACTGGTGAGATTGTTGGTGGGGAATGTGCACTGGTGGAGGGATGGGTGTTTGATCATTGTGTGATTGTAACCCAAACATGAAAGTTTGTAACTTTCTCACAGTGATTCAATAAAATTAAAAATAAAATAAAGAAATATAAATGTAGGTATAGATGTAGCTTTGAGGCACCATTAGAGGTACTCAGGACTTAACCTGTCTCTGCACTCAGGGATCACTCCTGGTGGGGCTTGTAGGAACACATAGGGTGCTGGGTATCTAACCCAGGTCAGCCATTTGCAAGGCAAGTGCCTTGTAGAAAGAGTGTACTATCTCTCCAACCCTCTATTGAATTTTGAAGTAGATGTCAACTCTAATATTTGAAGAGTAAGTGGGGGTGTGTGAAAACAATTGGTGACTTACTTTTTAAAATTACTGTATCTTGGGGCTGGAGAGATAGCAGAGCGGGTAGGGCATTTGCCTTGCATGCGGACGACCCGGGTTCGATTCCCAGCATCCCATATGGTCCCCTGAGCACCGCCAGGAGTAACTCCTGAGTGCAGAGCCAGGAGTAACCCCTGTGCATCACCAGGTGTGACACAAAAAGCAAAAAAAAATTACTGTATCTTTGTAATCTCTCTTTAAGAATAGAGAGGATCTTTGAACAAAAATGAGTATCTTCAAAATCAATATAAATTCTAATGCATATAATTTTTTCCATCTTATAAATCAGATAAGTGCAAATGTTATCTGTGACAAGGGACAACAATGAGATGTACTTTTCTCTATCAAATTCATAAATAGCACTAATTTTTAGCAGTGATATTAGGAAATAGGCACTCAGAGCAAATTAAAATGTAAATTGACACAGTTGCTCTAGAGGTCAATTCGAAAGTTTTTTAGAATCCTGGAAGAGAATATTCTTTTGATCTTCAGTTCTTCTTCTAGAAAAACTACTTTTAAAGAAATTTATCATGGAGAGGCACATATTTACAAGATGTTTATTACAGTCTTGTGTTACATTTACTTACCTGGGAAAATCAAATATATATGCGCAGATATCTAAGTAGTAAGATTATGGGTCCACTTTAATTTTCTTACCTGATTTTTAATGTATCCTACATTTTATAGGCCCAAAAGGTTTTTTTTTTAATTTTTATTAGTGAAACACCATGAGGTACAGTTGTACACTTACAAATTTTTGTGCTTGGATTTCAGTTTTACAATGATCGAATGCTCATCCCTCCACCAGTGCCCATTTTCCACCACCACTGATCCCAGGATCCCTCCCACCCCCCATCCCTCCATCCCACCCTGCCTCTGTGGCAGGGGATTCCCTTTTGTTTTCTCTCTCCTTTTGGGTGCTGTGATTTGAAAACGAGGCATTGAGTGGCAATCATGTTTGGTCTATAGTCTACTTTCAGCATGCATCTCCCATCCTGGGAGGATCCTCCCAACACCCTTTATTTGGTGTTCCCTTCTCTGTCTGAGCTGCCTTTTCCTCTAGCGTGTGCGGCTGGCCTCCAAGCCATGGAGTGAACCTCCTGGTACTTATCTCGGCTATTCTTGAGTGTTAGTCTTCTATTTTGTTATTTTACGTTCCCCAGATGAATGCAGTCTTTCTATCTCTGTCCCTCTCTTTCTGACTCATTTCGCTTAGCATGATACTTTCCATGTAGTACCACTTGTATGTAAATTTCATGACTTCATCTTTTCTAACAGCTACATAGTACTCCATTACTATGTGTAGATGTACCAAAGGCCCAAAAGGTTTTTAAACCCCAAAATGTATACATGATTTTTAAATGTGAGGGTTATCTTTAAAAGTTTATAGGAGCATTTCCCTTCTCACCTTCACTATTCAAATCCTACTTTTATTTCTGAACAGGTCTCCAGGAAAGGTTGGGATTTCAACATTAAACGTAAGTTGAGCCTTCTGAAAGTTACACATATGTTCATATAAATCCTGTACACTTTTCATTTATTTTTCTCTTTATGTAATTTTTTTGCTTTTGCTTTATTTTCTGAATTGTAATGTCGTTGAATCTTACTTGTTATGGTTAGGTGCTGTGGAAAAACCTAATTTCCAAAGCTGTGCTATAAAATGAGACTGTTTTTAATTCCCCCTAATTTTTAGTTTGTTGATAACATTTAGAACAGTAAACACTATGATACTTGTATTTGAATGTGTTTTAATTGAAAAATTAATACTTGCATGACAAAACAGTGGAGTTATTAAAACACTTGATACTTTTTATGGACCCATGTATTTGTGTCATCATTATATTCAGCTATCAATTCCAGACTTACATCCAAGAAAAGGATTTTGTTTTTGATACATTATTCCACTATAGCCATTTTAGGTACATTCGTATTAACAAGCAGAACTTGTTATGTCAAAGAGTATATACTCTGTATGTATGGTTGTGTATGTATATGTATAATCTCAAATGTGCTCTATCTTTTTTTCAGTTCCAGTGTCACTACCTTCTATTTATACACATTGGATACTGATCTCTTTGATAAATTGTGGTATATTCTACAGCAGTGGAAATGAATGAATTAGGTATACACAATAACATGGATGAATTTCAGCACCATAGTTTTGAGTGGGGATAAAAACAAGTCACAGAAAAATACATGCAGTAAGATTGCATTTATATTAAGTTCAGAGCATGCAAAACTAAATAATATATTGTTTGGAAATGCCAGCACATTAAAACTAAAGAACAGTAAGGGAATGATGAAGTCTAGAATGTCAGTCATCTCTAAGGGGTAAAGAATATAATGGAAATGGGAAATATTATTTGAGACTTGTAAGCTCATGGTTATAGTGTTCTTTTTCTTAAACTGAGTGTTTATGAAATATTATATCATTATTCTATATTCCTTCCATTTTACATTTTTTTGGAGGGTCAGGCATTCTGTGGTGGCGAGGCATGTTACTCAACTGTAGAACACTTGCCTTGAATGTGAGACCCTGAGTTCAACCCTGACATTGCAAAAAAATTTAACTCAATATTTAATAAAAGCAAAATTGGAGGTGAGCTACACCCATCTGTGCTCAGGAGTGACTTAACTCCTGGCTCTGTGCGCAGGACTTACTCCTGGCAGTACTTTGGGGGACCATATGTATTCCAAGTGCCAGGGGTCGAATTGGAGCTGACTTCATGCAAGACATATGCCTAGTTACTTGTACTTTTTCTGTTCCTAAAAATATTATTTAAAAATAATGCATGGACATGGTTAAAATGTGCTCGGTGCAAAATGTAGATAGTTGAAAATGCAGTTTCTCTCTTATCCCATATCCTTTCTTTTCCCAGTCCCTCTATTCAGGAACAATTGGCAATTAATTACACTCATGGGTTTTAAAAACCATTATTTGTTCAGATACTTTTGGTTTTGGGTTTTTGCATCAATCAGGGGGACTATGTGGTACCAGGGATTAAAATGGAGACTGTCACATGCAGAGCAAGTACCTTAACCACTGTACTATCTATTTAGCCTCAGCTATAGGATATTTTAAAGCTATATAGCAAATAGGTTGTAGGAATTTATCTTAGTAATTATCATTGTTATCATTGTGAATTAAAATAGAATATTTACATATTTAGTAAATACGGAGTTGTATTTTTCTGTTTTGATTTTTATTTTGAAATAATTGTAGATTTTCAGAAAGCTAAGATAGTGCAGAGAAATCATATGTGTCTTTCACCTGTGTTCCCTATGGTTGTATATCATAGTACAATATCAAAAACAGAAATTTGACATGAATGCAATGTGAATGTATCACTGTCATTTTATTACACATGAATATTTGTGTAACCTGCATCACAATCAGTATGCAGATCTATTTCATGACTACTAAGATCTCCCAGTGCTATAAAGGCCATACTTGCCACCTCACCCACATTCCTAACCCCAGGCAAACACTGATCTGTTTCATTTCTATAATTTTGTCATTTTTTATTCTCCTATAAATGGTATCATATAGTATGTGACCTTTGAGATCTGTCAAGTTTTTCCATATATCAACAATTTATTTCTTTTTTATAGTTTAATAAATATGTATATTTTTATGTAAATATGGATTTACTCAGGCTGTTGAGTGCGTATTACATATAACAGTATATCTGTTGATAGTTAAGCAATACACAAATGAAATTCTTCTATAGTCGTCATTTTTTGTGATTTTACAGTCTCACTAAAGAAATGCATATATCAAGAGATGATACATGAGGTATTGATTTTTATAGCCCACAAGTACTACAAGGAATTTAGAGGAGATGGGGTTGACAGAGCCATCTTAGAGCCCTTAGACCACTGTAACTGGAATAGCAGAGAACAGTTTCAGAGAGGTATTTTTCAGCTTTCAGAGATGTATTTTTGCTGGGCTTTGAAAGTTGAGATTTACATAGGTAGATAGGTAAAAATTTGGAAAGTATTATGCGTTAAGTAATAAAGAGTATGAACTAAGCGTCAGAATTTCTGGGAACATTGAAAAACTGGTCTGACTATTGTAAATGTTGCAAACATTGCTGTGATAAAAGGCTAGAAAGGTAAATTGGGGTCAGAATTTGAAAAGTTAGGAGTGTCAGATTAAGAATTCTGATCTTTAAATTTTTGAAACAAGACATTTAGAAAGTGATTGAGTTTTGTCTTACAGCTGTGTTCTCCAGAGGGTTTTTTTTGAGGGGGTGCACAGAGTAAATAAAAGATGCATGATGGGAAAGTTGGGGGAGTGTATGCAGAAGAGGACATAATATCTTTTAATAGTAATAATTAAGGTTTTATTGACTAGAAATCGTTTTTGTGTAATTTGTTAAAATGTTAACCTTTTACATTTGAAAAAAGTGATTAAAATTAAAAAGCTCACATCTTAGAACGAAGTACTGTCAGAAGGGTACCAGCAACTGTGAGATACCCAGCACAGATAGAGATAAACTGCAGTATGAATTGCTAAAAATTGAATAATCTACCATATACCTTTTAGGGTGATATTTCTGAGGTGATGATAGATTGAGACTGGGAAATGTGCTGACAGTGAGAAGCTGTGGTTTACTCTAGTGGGAGTGGGTTGTGGGCTAACCCATCTCCAGAAGAAGGTTGTAAATAACTGTCTGACATCTTAATTGATGTTAATTACCTACAGGCACATTCTTGGCTTATGATGCTTTATCTCCAAAGGAAGAATGAAAGGATGGACCTCCTGCATCTTAGACATGAAGAGGAGAGTGCCATACATGACTTTATATATACTAAAGCAGGTCTTAATAAGAAATTTTCTCATGGGACCATGGATATAGCAGTATATAGAGTATTAGGGCAGTATATAGAGTAGACTATAGCAGGTAAGGAGCACACAAGCCTGGCACACCGCCAACCCCTGTTCAATCTGTAGCACCACATGTGGTTCTCCAAGTGCCACCAGATGTGATCCCTGAGCACAGAGCTGGGAGTAAACCCTGAGCACCACCAAGTATGGCCCATCCCCTTCCCCCACAAAAAAATAGATCTGATTAGCTCTTCTTGATATCAGATCCTCTCGTAGGCACCTGGAATTAAACAGCAATTTTATAGGAGTTAATATCTTTTAAAGTTCTAAGTTCAAGATAATTTTGTTAAAGCCAAATAAAATAGAAGCCTAATCATCACTGCCAGGCAATTTTGGTCAGTGTAAGGACGTTTATCTGTGGTCTTTGTAAGTATTTGATTAAATTGAGGTACAAGAACTATGAATGTATTTTTGCTCTGGTTAATTTAGACACAATATCCACAGAGCTATGATGTATAGTACACCTGATTTTTCTACTAATGAGCAGTTATTGGAGTCTAATTGGTTAACTATACTTCATTTATAGGTCAGTTGAATTTGCTTCTCTAATGTGCTTTAACTGTTTCTTTTGGGTAGGAATGGTTTTAGGCTACTACATGGTTCTGTGCTCAGGGCCACTCGTGGTGGTACTGGAGATCAGATTTGGATCAGCCATTTGGTAACACAAGTGCCTTAACCCCTGTACTATTTCTCCATCTTTATGTTTAGAGGATGATTTGGGCTACACATAGCGGTGTCCAGGGACTTTTCCTGGCTCTCCTTAAGAGTGATTGCCAGAAGTGCTCAGTGGGCCATAGGTAGTACTGGGGATCAAAGTAGAGTCAGTTGCATGTTAAGTCAAACCCCTTGCCCCATGTATTTTCTCTCTGGCCTGTTCTTTTTTTTTTCCCCTTTATTTTATTTTATTTTTTTTAAAGTTGTAGATTTACAATTTTTTGTGCTTTGGTTTCAATTATACAATGATCAGATACCCATCCCTCCACCCGTGCCCATTTTCCACCACCATGGATAATATCCCTCCCACCCCCATCCCCCCCATCCCCCCTGTCTCTGTGGCAGGGCAATCCCCTGTGTTCTCTCTCTCCTTTTGGGTGTTGTGGTCTGCAAAAGAGGCATTGAGTGGCAAACATGTTCAGTCCATAGTCTACTTTCGACATGCATCTCCCCTCCTGGGAGGATCCTCCAAACATCCTTTATTTGGTGCTCCCTTCTCTATCTGAACTGCCCTTTCCTCTAGGATACCCGGCTGGCCTCTAAGTTATGGAGTAATCCTCCTGGTGCTGATCTCAGCTATTCTTGGGTATTAATCTCATACTTTGTTACTTTATATCCCCCAGATGAATGCAATCTTTCTATGTCTATCCCTCTCTTTCTGACTCATTTCGCTTAGCATGATACTTTCCATATTGTACCACTTGTATGTAAATTTCATGACTTCATCTTTTCTAACAGCTACATAGTACTCCATTGTGTAGATGTACCAAAGTTTTTTTAACCAGTCATCTGTTCTTGGGCATTCAGGTTTCTTCCAGTTTCTAGCTATTGTAAAGAGTGCTGCAATGAACAAACAAGTGCAGATGTCACTTCGACTACACATTTTTGCCTCTCTGGGATATATTCCCAGGAGTGGTATTGCTGGGTCAAATGGGAGCTCAATTTCTAATTTTTTGAGAATCTTCCATACTGTTTTCCAAAAGGGCTGAACCAATGGACATTCCCACCAACAGTGAAGGAGTGTCCCTTTCTCGCTCTGGCCTGTTCTTAATACTTATCAGTTTTCAGGTTTCCTCTCTCCATTTTCTTGTCAATATTATCTTACTAATGAGCTTTGATTAGAGTTTTTTTCAGGTTTTTTTTAAAAAGGATTTTTGTTTTGTTTGGGGTCAAATCTGGTAGGGCCTCAGGGGTTACTCCTGACTTTGAGGTCACTCCTGTTGTTGCTTAGGAAACCAACCCAGGCCATGCAAGGCAAGGGCCTTCATCTATGTGTTATAAATCAGGTTCTGTTTATTTTTTAGTTTATAACCAAATTCCATTAAAATATTTATAAGATGGGCTAGTAAGATATCCCAAAGAGCCGCAACACGTGCCTTTTTAACAACACCAGACCTTGCCGCAACATGCCTGCTTACCGCTAGCATTGCCGAGGCTGAGCAGTACCATATGATTGAGTGGCTTTTGTACCCCATGGACCTCCCTGTATAATTCTTGAGAGCCTCCCGAATAAATGTAATAAGTTAAACATAAGATTTAACATACTATTATGTAGGTAAATGATCTTGAAAGCAGTATGTCAGTAGAGCTATTTTTTTAAGGGTAACGAATTTGGGCCACACCTAGCAGTTCTCAGGGCTTACTCCTGTCTGTGTTCAGGGGACCATATGCAGTGCCAGGGATCAAAGGAGGGTCAGATGCATGCAAGGAAAGCATGTACTATCTCTCCCTCCAGCCCTGGAGCTTTAATTCTTTTTATAAAAGAGATTTTTCAACATAAAATATTTGAATTAAAGACCAGAGAGATGCTCAACAGGCTATATGTATAATATCACGCAGGGAACCCAGATTCAGTCCCTGGCACCACATAATAAGCAGTAAGTGTAGGACCAGCTCAATGCTGAATGTGGTCCCAAAGCAAACAAAAAGATATTTGAATTAACATTATTTTAATTAAAAGCATAAATTAATTATTGATAGTGTAATCCCATTGCTTCATAATAGTTTAAGAGCATACATTATTTAAAATTTAGAAAATGATTATAAAATGATTTACTTTTATCAAATACCCTTTTGTACTGAATAAGCAGTTATAGAATAAATAAGATCCCTATTTTTGGGCCAGAGACATGGCTTTAGTGGACTGGAGCACACCCTTTCCCTTTCCATGCAGGAGGCCTGGTTTCCATTCCCAACACAACATATGGTCCCCCGAACACCACAAGATATGGCTTAAAAACCAAAAAAAAAAATTTCTGTTCTTACTGAGCATGCATTTTAGTGAGGCAGGAAGAAACAAAGTCAGCAGAGTCATTTCAGATGTTGGTAAGTATCAGGAAGAGAAAAAGTATAGGTAGTTGTGATAGAAAGATAAAGGAATTTAACTAATGTGTCAGAGAAAGCTTTTCTACAATCAGACGCCAAAAGTTTTTCACCACTTTATGCAGTCTCTTCCCTTGTTTTGTTTGAAGGCTTTTCTCATACAACACTTGGGTCTGGGGGTGGTAAGGAACCGTCCAGTTGTCAAAAGTATAAAAATGGAGAGGTGAGAGAGAGGTAAGAAATGTAGATGTCAGAGATACAGGCAGGGCCATTTTACAATGTTTAGTTTGTCATGGGCTTTGTTAGAGTATGTGGATTATATTTAACAATTAAACAACCATAAAATAACCTTCCTAAAGAAGAATCTGTGTAAGATTCAGTGAAACATTTTCTCGGGTTAAAGATACTGGAAGTTCTGGGGATGACGCCATAGTACAGCAGGTGGGGTGATTGCCTTGCATGTGGCTGACCCAGGCTCAATCCCCAGCATCCCATATAGCCCCCCCTGCAACCCCTCACCTCCCCCCACCCCCCGCCCAGCACCAACGAGTGATTCCTGGGTCCAGAGCCAGGGGTAAACTCTGAGTACTGTCAGGTGTGGCCTCAAAAAAAAAACTAAAAAAGTTATTGGAAGTTTTGTACAAATTTCCGTCTTGTACACTAACTTTAGCAATACAATAATTCCTGAAATAATTTTATCATGGAGCCTATCATGACTATATTATGATTAAATAAACTGTATTTTTTATATCCTCAAACCAATTTTCAAAACTGGTAGTCATCTTGTTCTAACAAATTGTAATGTGCACAGAAAATTACGAATATTTTGTCATGATCAGTAGTGATATTAAATTCCTGTACATCTATAAATGTAAAGACAGCTACCAAAAGAAAATATTATGGTATTTACAAATGTATGTTTGTCTTATCTTGCCCACATTTTTCCAGCAATAATACAGAATCCATTTCTACTTTTTCTAACCCCCCAAATATATATATATATGTACGTATGTGTATATGAATATATACGTAGATATATATGTATTTTTGGTGGGTTCAGTTTTTTCATCAATTACTATCTGGGAGACTTCATGCAGCTTCTAATTAAGTTTTGATTCCTTTTATCTAAAGCATGTAGTATTTAGGAAAACTATTCTCTGAGTGTGTCTTCCTTTTTTAAAAATATAGAACTATTAAAAGTATGAAATATGTATTAAAAGTATATTTATAGATACTACTCTGATATGATAACAATTGATTCATCTCTGTATAAGTTCTTAATTTTTTTACACTGCAAAAGTACATGGTAGTTATCTTCATGTATTTTTATGTTAAAGTGGTCACATATAAATGAAGATATTGCAGTAAAAATGTAGAAATTGCTGATTGCTGACAGTCTTAGCAAATCACATTGTCCCACTTGCCATAAAATGTCTGAGCATCTATTAATACACAAAACGTTAAGCCCTTTATGGACTTTTCATTTATCAACGTTGTAGTTTCTAATTTGTGCCCATTTTAACAGCACTTTTGAAAGAAAGGATGCCATCATTTGGTCTTTGTTTCTTTTCTTTTTTAAATAGGAAACAGAAAACACTGTGTACAAAGTTGAAAATGAGTCTCCTGTACAAGAATTGAAACAAGATGTTTCTAAAAAGGTTCGTAATATGCAATATTGTAAGTCTAAAACTCAACTATAAATAACTAGTAAATTACAATGCTTTGATAAAATTTTTAAAAATTAGTAATATATGCGAGCCCAGCAAGCTACCCAGAGTATTCGGCCCACACGGCAAAGCCTGGCAAGCTACCCGTAACGTATTCAACATGACAAAAACAGTAACAACAAGTCTCACAATGGAGACATTACTGGTGCCCGCTCAAGCAAATCAATGAACAATGAACGGGGGGACAGTGCTACAGTGCTACAGTAATATGTCAGTATTACTTTCCTGTCCTGTCCTGTCCTCCCGTTGTTCATCGATTTGCTCGAGCAGGCCCAGTAACATCTCCATTGGAGACTTTGTTGTTACTGTGTCTGGCATATCGAATACATCACGGGTAGCTTGCCAGGCTCAGCCGTGCGGGCAAGATACTCTCAGTAGCTTGCCAGGCTCTCCAAGAGGGGCGGAGGAATCGAACTCGGGTCGGCCATGTTGGCTGCGTGCAAGGCAAACGCCCTACCGCTGTGCTATCGCTCCAGCAAACATATTCATGTATGTATTTTTTTTTAATTTTTATTAGTGAAACACCATGAAGTACAGTTGTGTACTTACAAGTTTTTGTGCTTGGGTTTCAGTTATACAATGATCGGATACCCATCCCTCCAGCAGTGCCCATTCTCCATCACCAATGATCCCAGTATCCGTCCCACCCCCCCCACCCCCCATCCCACCCTGCCTCTGTGGCAGGGCATTCCCCTTTGTTCTCTCTCTCCTTCTGGGTGCTGTGGTTTGCAAAAGAGGCATTCAGTGGCAATCCTGTTCATCTGTAGTCTACTTTCAGCATGTATCTCCCATCCTGGGAGGATCCTCCCAACACCCTTTATTTGGTGTTCCCTTCTCTGTCTGAGCTGCCTTTTCCTCTAGCATGTGCGGCTTGCCTCCAAGCCATGGAGTGAGCCTCCTGGTACTTATCTCGGCTATTCTTGGGTGTTAAGTCTCCTATTTTGTTACTTTTTATTCCCCAGATGAATGCAATCTTCCTAAAACATATTCATATAATTTTTAATTAAATATTTTCTACTTTCTTATTATAATAAAGTGATTTACAAGTTGTTCATAATACAGTTGTTTCAGGCATTCAGTATTTCAACACCAGTCTGACCACCAGTGTAACCTTCCCTCCACCAGTATCCCCAGTTTCCCACTCATCCCCCCAAGCCTGCCCCCTTAATAGGCACAAACACACTTACTTCATTTTGCTTATTGCAACAAGATTTCAAATAGAATTATCAAAAAGTAAATCAATAAAAAGTAAATCAATAAAAGTAAATTTGTGATAATAGTTATATTTCACAATGGTGTTACTAAAGTTATTTTCTGAGGATTTACTAAGCTGGTTGGTACTGTTTGAGCCTTGTGTTACTGTTTTCACTCACTGAATTTGATGGTCTTTGACACAATGTTCCCTTTAAATTTGCTGTGCTCAGTAGAAATGACATATGTACCTATATGTTCATTGCAGCACTGTTCACAATAGCCAAGATCTGGAAACAACCTAAGTGCCCTAGAACAGATGACTGGTTAAAGAAACTTTGGTACATCTACACAATAGAATGCTATGCAACTGTCAGGAGAGATGAAGTCATGAACTTTGCTTATAAATGGATAGACATGGAGAGTAACATGCTAAGTGAAATGAGTCAGAAAGAGAGGGACAGACACAGAAGGACTGCACTGATTTGTGTAGTATAAAACAACATAACATGAGGCTGACACCTAAGGATATTTGATACACGGGACAGATAGATTGCTCCATAGCTGGAAGCCTGCCTCATGAGCAAAGGGGAGAAGGCAGCTGGAATAGAGAAGGGATCACTCAGAAAAAGATGGCTGGAGGAATAGGTCGGGAAGGAAGATGTGTGCAGAAAGGAGCAAACATGATAACCTCTCAGGGTCTGTATTGCAAACCATAATGCCAAAAAGTTGAGAGATTATGGGGAATTATGTCTGCCATGGAGGCAGGGGAAGGGTGGGAAAGGGGGGCTATACCGGGGATATTGGTGGTGGGGAATGTGCACTGGTGGAGGGATGGGTGTTTGATCATTGTATGATTGTAACCCAAACATGAAAGCTTGTAATTATCTCACGGTGATTCAGTAAAATTAAAAAACAAACAAGCAAACAAAAACAAATTTGCTCTGCTCCTACTAAGATGTCAGAACTATGAAATTTTGAGGTGTTATTCCAGGAGCTGTGCTTGGTGGCTTGATGAGGTTCAGCTGTGGAGCTGGGTCCTTTCTATGTAACAACACATGTAAAGCATGTGCCTGGCCCATTAAGTTACCTTGCTAGCTCTGAAACCTTTTTAGAATGATGATTGTGTTGACTATCTCTGTTATCAGCTCCTACTCATTTTTAAATAAAATTTTATTTGGTTTGCCATTGTTTTACAGTGCCTTGTTTATGCTAAAACTAACTATAATCCATTTTCTGTTGTTACTAAGGTATTTAGTTGCTTGATAACTAAATGACAAATTAGGTAGACTCTAGCCTCTAGCAAAAGTGAAATGATCTAAGAAAAAACTGAAGATCCAGGACCTAGGAAGATAGCCCAAGTGGTCAGAGTACATGTATAGCAAGTACAAGGATCTGAGTTCAGTCCCCAGCACCACATGCCCCTTCCTCTCCGCAGGATCACAGGAAGTAGCCCATACAAAAACAAATTTGAAGATTAAGAAAAGCTAACATATGAAATATTTTGGGATATCAGGGACAACTATTTCTGAATAGCAGCAATATCCAGTTTAATGTAGCATTATTTTCTGGAAAAACACATCAGGACAGTTCTTTGACATATTCCATTAACTTTCTGGAGCCAAGCAATTGAGACAATAAAAATCATTTATGCTTGGGCATGGTGGAAATATGAGTGGATTGGAAGATTTAATGGGTAGAATATACATTTAACGGGTAGAAAATATATTTTCTTTTAAATGTTGATACCTAATCTGTATTTCCAGCTGTAAGTAAGAAATAAAGTGTAGCAGGTAGGCCAAATGAGCTGGGTATTTGAACTTTTGTTATGGTCCTACCATCTCCCCAAATAGTACGGTATTGGGTTTAGTCTGTTTAAAAATATCAGTGTCCTTCACTTCTATGTGGTAGAGTAACTGAATGAGGAAATGCAATGGATTAAGGGGGAATGCCTAGATCACCCTTGGCTCCAGAGTATAGGGAGACGAAAAGACATAGAGTGAAGGGCTAGAGAAGAGATAGATGAGAAGCAGTGGGGGTAGGGGGTCAAGGAGACCCAGGTACATTGGTGGTCTAAGGAATCATAGAGCTAAATATCCAAACTACAGTAAAAAACACTGACATTGCAAGACCCAAACTTTAACAACCAAATTTAAAAGGTGCCTGTCAAGATTGTGGGCTGGGGCTGGGGTGGGGTAGGAAAGGGAATCTTTGAGCAATGGTGGAGGGAACTTGACACTGGTGCTGGGATTGGTGATGGAACATTGTATGACTAAAACCCAGCTATGAATAACTTTGTAATTCATGGTGCTCTAATCAAATTTTAAAAGAAAAAAATTTATATTAAAAAAGGAGTATTGGTGTACTTGCCTCTGCTGACTTTTCCTGTTATCGCTTTGAGTTCAGAGCAGAACAGCTCTGATTCTTATAATGTGTTGTTTTAATTTTCATGTCTTTCTTCAAGAGCTAAAGTAGCATACAGTTACTGCAGTTGGCATAAATAGATAAGTGAAATATGACATGAATAATTTGTAAATTTGGGGACTGGAGGGATAATACAGCAAACATGCTTGCCTTGCACATGGCTGCCTAAATTCGGTCCCTGCTACCCTATATCCCCTTCTGAGCACAGTGCCAGGAATAATCTTTGAACAGAGTACCAGGAGTAATACCTGAGCATAGCAGAAAGATAAGTGTGTAAATTTGTTTTTTATAGAGTTGATTGCTCTTCTGTGATTACACATACTAGTACAAATTCTCTATATAATGGTTATTAGTGTAAATTCTGGAACCAGACCCTTGAGTATATGCCAGCTTTGTAATTTACTGGCCTCGTGAGTTTGGATGAATCATTTGATCCTTTTTTATGTTTTCATTCCCTCATTTGTACAATGATCATAGTAGGAGTACTGTCTTAGAAGATTTTGTGAAGATTATATACATAAAATTTTAAGAATATTGCTTGGCATATAATAATTGCTATCTAAATGGTTAGCTGTTCTTAGTTAGGGTTTTAAAGTTAGCTTCATTTTTTAAAAAGCTGCCTTTTTAATCTTCCAATCAGATTATCGAAAGTATTATTGAGGAGAGTCAGAAAGTACAACAGCTTGAAGATGAGTCTATGGATTCCAAAGGAAAAGAACTCTCTGATCAGGCTACTGCCAGTTCTATCATGGCTGAAACATCAGATATTAGCAATATACCTGGACTGTTAGCCATAGATCAAGTTCTACAGGAAGATTCCCAAAAGATAGAAAGTCAGAGTGCAGATGAAGAAATGGAAATAGAATCAAAAATGTGTTGTCCTTCTGATAGTGCCTGTGAGAATCCAGTAGATGAAACCACTGAGTTAACCAAAATAAGTTCAACTGAGCAGCTTAATGTGCCTGAAACTGAAACAGAAGTATTAAACAAGGAAACTGTGGAAGTTAAACAAAGTGATGATCAAGAACCTGTGTCCTCAGAGTCCTTACCAATTCAAGAATTTGCTGCTGTAGAAGAAGTTGCTCCTGCCAAACCTCCAAGACAGCTTACTCCAGAACCTGACATAGTAGCTAGTACCAAGAAGCCTGTTCCAGCACGTCCACCCCCTCCAACTAATTTCCCACCTCCTAGACCTCCACCTCCATCTCGACCTGCTCCACCACCAAGAAAAAAGAAAAGTGAATTGGAGTTTGAAGCTCTTAAAACACCTGATTTGGATGGCAAGTATTAAAGAAATAACTTTATTCTGGGGAACATTTTGGAGCTGAAATGGTTTTCTGATTGTTTTCATTTTCTGCTATATAAAACTTTACCAATCAGTGACTTTTGATTGGTTTTTATTTTTGGATGGGTTTGGGCCATGTCCACTGATACTCAGGCTACTTCCAGCTTGGTGCTCAGTCTCTTCGGGTGAGGATTGAACCCAGGCCTTCCATATGCAAAGCATGTACTCCTGCTTGTTGAGCTATCTCCTGGGCCCTAATAGCTAAATTTTAAAAATATTTTAGGGACTAGGTGTGTGACTCAATGCTAGAGCACTTGCCTTGCATAAGTGCGGCTCTGTGTTCAATCCACAGAACTGCAAACAAAAGTAAATAAATAAATATTTTATTAGGGGCCATGAGGGATAATCTAAAAGACTGGAATGTAGGACTGGCATGCATGAGGCCCTGAGTTTGATTTCTAGCAGTGCATGCCCCACATCCAGTACCACAGGATGTGTCCCTTTTGTCAACCAGCACCTTCACGGCAGAGCATTAAATCTTCTGTCCCACATGTCCAGTCCAAATATTTTTGGGAGTGGGACCCAGCCTCCTGAGCACTACTTGGGAGGTTTCCCATATATTTTAGTAATAAACCAAAGGTGAAAAATTTTACATTGATGATACATTGCTATAATTTTTTCTTTATTTTTACATTGATTGTTACATTTCTATAATCAAACATTTCAGCAGACTTTAAATTTTCAAATCTCTTTTACTGTTGAAGAGTGAGTGTGGCATGATGAAGAATCATGAGATATAAAGACCTAAGGTCTGAATTGAAGATCTTAATCTTTAAGGTGTATAGTCTTAAGGAATTTAATGGTTTTTTTAACTCTGATTTCCCCATATATAAAATAAAAGGAATAAAACCACTTTTATTACAGGGTCATTGAAAGAATCAAAGATTTAACCACTTTATATGCTATCTATAAAGTTGTGTTAAATTTGATTTTATTGTTGCAGTTCCCAAAGAAAATATTCCATCTGATGCTCTCCTGACTACCAGCATGGCTTCAGAGAGTGCAGGCAAAGATTCTCAGCCTTCGCTTGATTTAGCAAGTGCTACCAGTGGAGATAAAATAGTTACTGCCCAGGTTGGTGAATCCATGTTATATCTTATATTTATCAATTTTCTAGGACTGGCCAGTTTGTTGATTGTTTGGACCTTCTTTCTTTAAATCAATATTTCTTTGTCCCCCAAATCTTACATCCACTGACTGGTTCCACTATGACCTTGCTGAGTGATGTAGCAAGGTATTTAACAAGAATGCCAGGGACCCCAGTGATAAAATGGAGTGAACAAAAACTTCCTTGACAGTTACTTGCAAGGATGGAAGCATCTAAGGATGAAAAGTATGCCAGGTACCTGGTATGTAGTAGATATTTTAAAAATGACAGGTGCTGCTACTTGTGATATTACTAATATTAACAAATACCAAATATAATCTTCATATAGTTGACCTGTAGTGGTCAAAATTTTTTTATATAAATCTTTATTCTTTTTTTTTTATTATTATTAGTGAAACACCATGAGGTACAGTTGTAGATTTACAATTTTTTGTGCTTGGGTTTAGATCTCCTCATACTAGGATTCATATCCAACTATGAGACAAAAGAAAGAACTTGAGAACATAAATTTTTTGCTTCAGTTTAATTCTGAGATACAAGAGTTATTTATGTGCAGGTGGAGCAGGTTATCAAACTGGGAAGTAAGACATATAAGTCGTATCCAATGACTTTAGTGAAGAGGTTAGCAGTGTCCAGTTTTTGTAGGGTCCCCAAGCTAAGAATGGTTTTTATATTTTACGAGGATAGTTAACAAAAAAGAGAAGAAAGGTCTACAAAGACTTAAAGACTAATATAAAGTACAAGGCCTAAAATACTGTCTTGTAACAAAAAAAGTTTGCCAAACCCAATCTTTAGATATTTCAGTGATAGCAATATTAGTACTGGCATTCTAGTATTTTAACTGCTTTGGAGCCAGTTTCCAAGAGAGCATTTTGTTTTAAAGCTGCTAAAACATTTTACATGTCAGTTATACCTCAGTGGAAAAATAAACTACAAAGACTGCTTCATGGAAGCAGTAGTCTTGGCGACAAATGTTTTTCAGCATGCTGAGAACAATAAAGGAGTGAAATGGAGTATTCTATTTCAGTTTTTAGTAGACTTCATTATGTGAATTATGAATTCTTCAGAATCTTTAGAACTGTGTGTGGTAATGAATGATTGAGTATTTTTTTAAAAAGTGATCCAATTTTTATTTCTCTCATAAAATTATAATTTCAGGAAAATGGAAAAACACCTGATGGGCAGACAATAGCAGGTGAAATGATGAGTCCTCAGAGGCCTAGATCCAACTCAGGAAGAGAGCTTACTGATGAGGTAAAAATTAATTTTGTTATTCTTAAAAATACATACAGTTAATAAGAGAACATAAAAAACTTCTGGATATAAATGTTCATAAGGCAATGTGAATGTATACTGAGTATTTATTTTTAGATTTTTTGTGATGTATAGTGAATTTAAATTGTAATAAGTAAACATTGAATCTGTACATGCTGTACATCATGTAGCTTTCATAATCACATATAGCTATAATAGCAAGTTCCTTTTAAAGCCCACTCTAGAAAATATAGACCTTGCTTTCAATGCATTTAATCTACCATGTAATTATGTAAAAAGATAAGTTTAAGTCAGAGTTGTATCCAGCACATTTAAAAGGAAAACTCTGACAAACTTTAATTTTCCTTTTTTTTTTACACTTACGTTTTACATAAAAGCAAAAAAATTGGAGCCAGTAGTGTAGTACTTATGGTATGTAACTTGCATACAGCTGACACAGGTTCAATCCCCAGCACTACATAGGGTCTCCATATCATTACCAGGAGTGATCCTTTAGCATAGAGCCAGGTGTAAGCCCCGAGCACTGCTGGGTTGTCAAATAAAAACCTCTGTATTTACCACTTTAATTGGTTTTAATTGTCTACAGCTAAGTGGCATTAAGTACATTATGTATACACATCAATTGGTTAGTTTATTTATAATGAAGGGCTTTTTGTTAGTTGCAAGGACCATGCCAGATGGTGCTCGGGAGCCCCAGGTGCACATCCAGCTGTATGGAAGAAAAGTGGGCTTTTGGTTTTAAGATGGAATCCAGGAGTTCACACATGTCAGGCATGTGCCCTATCACTTGAACTACATCCTGGCCCCCCAAAAAAGATTTGAAGCAAAATCTTAATTTCTGTTTCTTTTAGACAGCACATTTTTTTAAAATTACTGTTCTTTGGGAAATTGCTTGACAATTCCTCAAAATTGGGCTGCCATGATCCAGCAATTCCATTTCTGTGTATAAATACACCAAAGAGAGGAGAAAACATATTGTCTACATAAAGTGCATACAAATGTTCTTAATAGCCTGAGTGTGGAAATAGCACAACATCCATCAGTGATGAATGCATAAATAAAATGTGGTATATCCATCTGCTTCATTGGGCTACACTAGCATGCAACAGGGATAAATGGAGACATTACTGGCACCCACTCGAGCAAATCAAAGATCAATGGGATGACAAGTGATACACGTGATATCCATCTGCTTGCGATAATTTTTGGCAATTAAAAAAAAGATTCTTTGCAAATAAGAGCATCTAGGTTCAATCCTTGGCACCACCACACCCAAATAGACTTGAAGTTCTAATACATGCTACAGCGTGGATGAACTTTGAAAACATGATATTAGTGAAAGAAGCCAGTCAACCCAAAAAGCCACACTGTGTGTGATCTAATTTTTATAAAATGCCCGTAAGAGGCAAATCCATAGAGACATACAGTAGATAGATTAGTGATTGCTGGGTTCTGGAAGAAGAGAGGAATGAAATATGAGGTTTCTTTTGGTAGTCATAAAAGTGTTCTAAACTCAGATGATAATATTTGCACAACTCCAAATGTGCTTGAAACTATGGCATTTTATACTTTAAATGAGTTAATTTTGTGGAGTGTGAATTGTATCTTACTAATAATGTTAAAAACTTTGCACTTTTTCTAAGTATATGTAGGTAGTCCTTAGCTTAAATTTTTGAGGATTTTGTACTCAGTATGTTATTAAATCATAGGGGTCCTCAAGGTATTGTTTTCTACCTCAGGAAATTTTAGCCAGTGTAATGATTAAGAACCTGGATACTGGAGAGGAAATACCTTTGAGTCTTGCAGAAGAGAAACTACCAACAGGTATTAATCCTCTCACTCTACACATCATGAGAAGGACTAAGGAATATGTAAGGTATGGCCTAAAGTTATTATTTATTATATATACTATTTTAGTGGAGTGGAGTGATAGCACACAGAGGGTAGGGCGTTTGCCTTGCACGCAGCCAACATGGCCGACCCGAGTTGGATTCCTCTGCCCCTCTCGGAGAGCCTGGCAAGCTACCAAGAGTATCTAGCCCACACGGCAAAGCCTGGCAAGCTACCCGTGGCGTATTTGATATGCCAAACACAGTAACAAGTCTCACAATGTTACTGGGCCCGCTCAAGCAAATCGATGAACAATGGGAGGACAGTGACAGTGACTATTTTAGTATACACAAAGTTTCTGCCTGTCAACTATGATAGTACAGACACTTTAGTTTCACTCATTCTTCTATTTTTAAATATAAAGTTAAAATAGAATGTCCTTATATTCCATATTTTTCCTTTTTTTCTTTTGGTTTTTGTGTCACGTCCAGGAACTGAACCCAGGTCAGCCAAGTGCAAGGCAAGCATCCTACCTGCTATATTATCCCTCCCGTTCCCCCCCCCCCCGTGTTAAATTTTTTAAAAAATTCCTAAATTTTGTTCTCTCTTAAGACTGTATAATGACTTGAGGAATATATATATCAAATTCTAGATACTATGAAAACATATTGAGGCTAAAACATTATGTGAGATAAATGTTGATCTTCCAAAATCTTGCACTGAGGATCACAAATTTGGGCTGGAGAGATAATTCAGGGGTTAAGGCCTTGTATGCAGCAGACCCTGGTTCATTCCCTAGTATCACATGGCCCCCTAATCACATGCCCCCCTAATCACATGGCCCAGAAGCCCAAGGCAGGGGATGGAGAACAAATTTTATAATCATATTGTCTTTGTAATGTCAGAAAGGAGATTAACTTTACTGCGAAGAGAAGATTTATTTTACTGTAAGATGTATATAGCTCTAAGATGTAAATAGATAGTATGTACACAAGGAAAATGTATTTGTAAGTTAATTTCTCATTTCTATGCAGCATCATTTTCATTTTTGGTTTTTGGGCCATACCCAGCAGCACTTGGAGAACCTTGTTCATCAGCCCAACCCAGCGCTCCCTGATCAAAATGTGTGATCTGGCCCTTTGAGCTGTCTCTCCAGATCTTCTGTGCAGCACAGTTTGCGCAGCAAAAACCCTTGTTTATTGTAGTTTTTCCCTAAAGCCCCTAAATTGCATTCACTTTTTATTTTACACATTACATCCTATATAGTTTCTATTGTGTCTCTCTAGTCTTCAAATTTCTCAGTCATCACTTAAATTTAAATTACATAAAGTGTGTTAACATATTTTTTCCTATTCTTATTAGCTATAAGTATAATTAGAGATTTTCGAGAACTGTGAATTGACTTATGTGTATGTGTGTTGAAATTTTTAAAAATTTTTTGAGACTCATGGTTTACAATGCTGTTAATAATGGTTTCTCATGCACATAATTCCAACACCTCACCCATCACCAGCGTATACCATCACTTTCCTAAGAACACCAAGACTCCTCCTTCCCGACCCGCCCACCCCTAACTCAATTGTGTGGATCATTTCTCCCATTATGTTGCCATTGGCCCTTTGTTGCTACCTTGATGTTTATCTTAGTCCAACATAGGTGAAAGACCATTCTGTATCTGTCCCTTTTCTTCTGACTGACTTCATGCAGTATAATGTCTTCTAGTTCTGTTCATTATGCTACAAATCACATGATTTTATTCTTAGAGCTGCATAATATTCCTTTGTATGTGTATGTGTGTATGTATGTATATATATATATCTATATATATATGTATATGTATACACCACAGTTTCTTGATCCATTCTTCTGTAGTTGGACCTTTGGGTTGTTTCTGTATCTTGGCTATTGAACCAAGTAGGTGTGCACATATCCTTTCAAATTAATGTTTTTTGTCTTTGCGGGATAGATTCCAAGAAATAGTATCACTAGATTGTATGATAGTTCTGTTCATATTTTTAAATAGATATCCATATTGTTTTCTGTAAACACTGAACCAGATGACATTTCTACCAACAATGGATGAGGGTTTCTTTCTCACCACAACCCCAACACTAGCTGTGTCCATATTTGTGAATATGTGCCATTCTCACAGGTGTGAAATGTTATCTCATTGTAGTTTTGATTTGTAGGAAATGGCTTCTTCCTAAATGACTTCTTCCCCTTCTTGTAGCAATGATGCAGCACAGTCAGATGATGAAGAGAAATTACAGTCTCAGCCCACAGATACGGATGGTGGAAGGTTAAAACAGAAAACGTGAGTTATAGCACATCCTTTTTCTTCATTTCAGACTTTTATTTTATTCTGTTTTTTTTAAAAACCACATCCAGCAATGCTCTTGGAGGACTAGTTGTGATAGTAGTGCCATGCAAGGATTGAACCCAGGGCTCCCATATTCAAAGTGTATACTCCAACTCTTTGAATCATCTCTCTGACTCCCATTTCAAGCTTTCATTTTTAACATGGAACTCATGGAGCCAGATAGATGGTATAGTGGGTAGGGTGCTTGCATTGCACATAATCAACACATCTGCAGTGTCAGGTTCAATCCCTGGCACCACATATGGTCCCCTAAGCACCACCAAGAATGAACCTTAAATGCAGAACCAGGAGTAAGCCACGAACACAGCTGGATGTAGCCCCAAAACCAAAAAAGAAATGGGGATCACTGTACAATTTTAAATTTTTACTCTGTCTTGTTTGTGTTTGTGTCCGTCATTACTACACCTCGACCCCAGTAAATAGATTATAAGTTCCCTGAGGCTATATTGGTCAAATTCATAATATCTGAAAATACAGTAAATGATAAATAAAATTTGCATTATGCCTGTGTTGTTTTTCTGACAGCACTTACCAAGGGTCTTAGTGGCAGAACATGATTATCCTTAAAGTTGCCTTTTTCCTTTCTCTTTCTCTTTCTCTTTGCAGTTTCTATTTGTCTCTTTAAATCCAAAACATGATAACCTTTCTGAATACTCCAGTTTATGATAAATTTCGTCTGTTTCTCAACCTCAGTGATACCTACAGTCAATATATCATACATTAGATCTTTATATGTATTTTTGGTCATACCCAGTGATGCTCAGGGGTTACTCCTGTCTCTGCATTCAGGAATTACTCCTGGCAACGTCCGCCCCTCTCAGAGAGCTCGGCAAACTACCGAGAGTATCCTCCTTCACGGCAGAGCCTGGAAAGCTCCCCGTGGCATATTCGATATGCCAAAGACAGTAACAACAAGTCTCACAATGGAGGTGTTACTGGTGCCAGTCGAGCAAATCGATGAACAATCGACTGGAGGACAGTGCTGCAGTGCTACAGTGCTCAGGGGACCATATGGGATGCCAGAGATCAAATTCAGGTTGGCCATATGCATGGCAAACACTCTACCCGCTGTGCTATCTCTCTAGCCCCCTAGATCTTTATATTATCTTAAAATTTTCTGGTTTTTAGCACTGTCACTGTAGCACTGTCATCCCGTTGTTCATCAATTTGCTCGAGCAGGCCCAGTAATGTCTCCATTGTGAGACTTGTTACTGTGTTTGGCATATCATATGTGTCACAGGTAGCTTGCCAGGCTTTGCTGTGCGGGCGAGATACTCTCCATAGCTTGCCAGGATCTCCAAGAAGGACAGAGAAATCGAACCGGAGTCGGTCAGGTCTGCCTTGTGCAAGGCAAATGCCCTACCTGCTGAGCTATCGCTCCAGCCCTTCTGGTCTTAAAAAGATGGATATATAATAAGCTATGCCATTAGCTGCAAAAGAATTTTGATCATGCCATGCTTCTGTTTCTCTTACAAGCATTAAGCACAATGGTGGACATGTGGGTTTTGCTTGGCTATACACATCACCTAATTGGTAATAATTCATCCTGAGCCTTAAAGCAGATTCTTCATTCAAGAATGATCTTTTCCTGGGGCCAGAGCCCCAGGGCAGTGGGTAAGCCTTGTAGCCAGCTGACCTGAGTTCAATTCTAGGCATCCCGTATGGTCCCCAGAGCACTGCTAGGAGTAATTCCTAAGTACAGAACCAGTAGTAACCCTTGAGCATTGCCAGTTGTGATCCCCAAACAAAAGTAAAAACAATATCACTGTATCACTGTCATCCCGTTGATCATCAAGTTACTCGAGCGGGCGCCAGTAACATCTCTGTTCCTCCCAGCCCTGAGATTTTAGCAGCCTCTTCTTACTCGTTTTTTCCCAACGATTGGAGGCTCTTTCAGGGTCAGGGGAAACAATAACTATTTTTTTTAAAAGATTTATCTTTTCCTATCGCTCCAGCCTGGGCTGGAGCGATAGCACAGCGGTTTGCCTTGCACGCAGCCAACATGGCCGACCCAAGTTCGATTCCTCTGCTCCTCTCGGAGAGCCCTGCAAGCTACCGAGAGTATCTTGCCCGCACGGCAGAGCCTGGCAAGCTACCCATGATGTATTCTATATGCCAAACACAGTAACAACAAAGTCTTCAATGGAGACATTACTGGGCCCGCTCGAGCAAATTGATGAACAACGGGAGGACAGTGATACAGATGATCTTTTCCTAAGTGAAAAGTGTAGCAAAGGAAGCACATGGAATTTTTAGGAATGATGAACCACAATGAAAATATAGGATAACACCAGTGATACTTACTATATGGCTTTCTAGTTGTGGTGGCTATTAGAAACCTTAGAATTAGGAATTAGGGGCCAGAGAGAGAGTTCAGTGGGATGAGCATTTGCCTTGCATGTGGTTGACCTGGGTTTGATACCCGGTATCCTATATGGTCCCCCAAGCACCACCAGGAATGATTCATGAGTGCAGAGGAATAACCCCTGAGTACCACCAGGTAGGTCCCAAAACAACAAATAACACCAACAAAGAATTATGAAGTATTCTTTTTCTTTTTTTTTCTAAGTTTTTGGGCCCACCAGCAGTATGCAGAGCTTACTCCCAGCTCTGCACTCAGGAATCTCTCCTGGTGAGGCTCAGGCTGAATTATCTCCATCCCCAGAAGAAATCATATTTCCTAAAAGAAAAGATGTTTGATATTAAAGTATAGACCCTCATCATTTTTCTACTTGAGATGTAGAATACTTTCACGCACAGCACACACTCACTTAGGGATTTATTCATATGCATTTTGTTTGCTTCTTATATAATTAAAATCTGGTCATCTGACTTCTGAATTCACGGCAAAATAGAACACCCAACTGATAACATATAAGCAAATATCTAGGAACATCAGGTAGGGCTCCGGAGAAAGTTCAAGCTGTTGAATACATTTCTGGTATTCTTTTTTCATTTTTTATAATTTTATTATTCCACTACCCAGCCGTCGCCACACTCCAGGATGCTTTCCGGACCTGCGCGGCCGCAAGCGGCCGCGCGACACATCATAAGACACTAAATACCCATCTTCTAGAATTGTCGTACCATATTTGATAGGGTTCAAATATGGTAACACCTACAAGGGTGATTAGAGGTCACCCCAAAAGCCTCTATCCCTCTCGGAAAGACTGGCAAGCTACCGAGAGTATTCCGCCCGCACGGAAGAGCCTGGCAAGCTATCCGTTGTGTATTCGATATGCCAAAACCAGTAACTACAACTGGTCTCATTCACCTGACCCTGAAGGCTTCACCGACATGGCAGCACTGAGAAGGATGAGAAAGGAGAGGCCGACAAAATCTCAAGGCCGACCTAGGCTGCCACAACGAAGGAAGACAAAAATGATCGGCTGTACTTTCAATGCACGTACGCTAGCATCAGATGCATCCATCGAGGACCTGATGGTACAAGCGCGAATGATCAAGTACGACATCATTGGTCTGACCGAGACAAGAAGGCACGAATCTCACCATGCCGTTTTCGACACTGGAGAAGAATTGTTCCTCGGAACATGCGATAAAAGAGGTGTTGGAGGCATCGGTGTCCTTGTCAACACAAACTTGGCCAAGAGCATTGATTCATTCGAATGCCTAACAACCCTAATCGGACGTTTACATTTGAATAGATGTGGCTCACTGCCTGCAGTTTCTATCTTCGTTGTCTACGCACCAACATCTCATTATGATGAAAGAGAAATCGAGAAGTTCTACATGGAGCTAGAGAAGTTCTATAAAGAAGACCACACCTTCTACAAGATCATTGTGGGTGATTTTAATGCCAAGATAGGACCGAGAAGATCAGCTGAAGAACTTCACATCGGGACCCATGGCCTAGAGTGGAACGAACAGGGTGAGAGACTGTCAGAGTTCATCATGTCGACCAAGACCATCCATGGTAACTCACAGTTCCAGAAGGCAGAATCTAAACGATGGACATGGGAGTCTCCCGGTGGACGATTCCACAACGAAATAGACCACATCATATTCAATCGACGGTTTTGCCTGACTGATGTCGCTGTTGTCCCAAAATTTCGAACGGGATCCGACCACCGTCTCCTTCGTGCAAAATTCTACTTCACACAGCGGGGAGAAAGGGCTGCAAAGTTCAAAAAGAGAACTCCCAGAATGACCACCAACTGGGAACTCTTTGGTACTATTGCGGCAACATGGGAAGATGCCATTGTTGACAACATTGACGAGGAATACGATCGATTGGTTCAGCACCTCCATGAATGTGCGAGGAACGCCAAGAGAGAGATAGCCACAAAAAGTCGCCTATCTTCGAAAACTCTTGAGCTAATTCGCCAGCGTGGTTTGGCGCATGCCTCAGGCAACCGCAAGCTAACGTCCGAGCTTGCAAAGCAGTGCAGAGATGCGATCAAGGAAGACCTCAAAGAGAGAAGAGCAGAAGTACTGGTAGATGCGGCAGAAGCCGGGAAAAGTATTCGTAAGGCCCGCCTGTCCTTCGCCAACTATAAGACCAAGATGACTGCCCTCCGACGTCCTGATGGATCCATCACATCCTCCAGAACGGCAATGGAGAAGATTATCCATGACTTCTACTCAAATCTCTTCGATAGCCATGTCCACTTGCCAACATACCAAATTCCACAGGATGGGTATGTTGTTCCCAACGTTCTCCCCTCCGAAATCCGACACGCCATTTCGTCGGTAAAGAAACAAATAGCACCCGGCCCAGACAAGGTCAGACCTGAACACCTGAAGAACCTGCCGTCAGTACTCATCAATACACTGGCTCGGCTCTTCACTCGCTACCTGTCTGAATGCAAGGTTCCGTCCCAATGGAAAACCAGCAGGACCGTACTACTGTTCAAGAAGGGAGACATCCATGACATTGGCAACTATCGCCCGATCTGCCTATTGTCTGTCATCTA